AACACTAATTTAGTTTGCGCGCAATGAACAACTGTGTCATTCGATCACTTATAAATATACAGTATACACTAACTAAATAACGTCTAACACTAATTTAGTTTGCGCGCAATGAACAACTGTGTCATTCGATCACTTATAAATATACAGTATACACTAACTAAATAACGTCTAACACTAATTTAGTTTGCGCGCAATGAACAACTGTGTCATTCGATCACTTATAAATATACAGTATACACTAACTAAATAACGTCTAACACTAATTTAGTTTGCGCGCAATGAACAACTGTGTCATTCGATCACTTATAAATATACAGTATACACTAACTAAATAACGTCTAACACTAATTTAATTTGCGCGCAATGAACAACTGTGTCATTCGATCACTTATAAATATACAGTATACACTAACTAAATAACGTCTAACACTAATTTAGTTTGCGCGCAATGAACAACTGTGTCATTCGATCACTTATAAATATACAGTATACACTAACTAAATAACGTCTAACACTAATTTAGTTTGCGCGCAATGAACAACTGTGTCATTCGATCACTTATAAATATACAGTATACACTAACTAAATAACGTCTAACACTAATTTAGTTTGCGCGCAATGAACAACTGTGTCATTCGATCACTTATAAATATACAGTATACACTAACTAAATAACGTCTAACACTAATTTAGTTTGCGCGCAATGAACAACTGTGTCATTCGATCACTTATAAATATACAGTATACACTAACTAAATAACGTCTAACACTAATTTAGTTTGCGCGCAATGAACAACTGTGTCATTCGATCACTTATAAATATACAGTATACACTAACTAAATAACGTCTAACACTAATTTAGTTTGCGCGCAATGAACAACTGTGTCATTCGATCACTTATAAATATACAGTATACACTAACTAAATAACGTCTAACACTAATTTAGTTTGCGCGCAATGAACAACTGTGTCATTCGATCACTTATAAATATACAGTATACACTAACTAAATAACGTCTAACACTAATTTAGTTTGCGCGCAATGAACAACTGTGTCATTCGATCACTTATAAATATACAGTATACACTAACTAAATAACGTCTAACACTAATTTAGTTTGCGCGCAATGAACAACTGTGTCATTCGATCACTTATAAATATACAGTATACACTAACTAAATAACGTCTAACACTAATTTAGTTTGCGCGCAATGAACAACTGTGTCATTCGATCACTTATAAATATACAGTATACACTAACTAAATAACGTCTAACACTAATTTAGTTTGCGCGCAATGAATAGTGTGCTGCTATATTAAATCTCTACTCCCAACAGCGCTGCTGCTAGAACTAATTGCCGCTTGATATGAATAGCGCCAAAGCGACATAGCGTCATAGCGCCTTGGCAACTACTTACATAGCACGCGCTATGCGTTATGAAGAGATAGCACGCTATAATATGGCGCTATGCGCTATATTAACCACCATTACTATAAATTCTACTTTCAAGGATAGGCGGGCTATGCTTTAGTACGTAGCGATCGTTCTCCTGTTCTCTAACTTCCATGACTGAAATGATAACACCACTATTGCAATATAAAACATTTATTTGAAAAAAAAAAATTAGCAACATTATTGGATACAAACTACAAAAATAATATTCGATACTACATAATGATTATCCTTATACAATCAACATTACAAGAGCCAGTCTATTAGTATTTGGCTCTGTTGAACACATTTACGCTTATTGCTATTATTTTGTTTATAAGAATATAAGAAATGTACTTAAAATTGACAGATTTTAATAAAACAAGACAGTTAACAAAAAGTAAGCATTACAAAAATTAAACCATGCTATAAAATAACTGTTAAATTGCTAGGCAAATTTATCGTACTATAAAGAAGTTACACAATTCTAAGCTTTAAACTAACATCAGGCGTTTTGGCGTTACTATTGACAAAATTATATTAAAATTATGAAAAATAAAATGTACTCATAAAAATATATCAATAGGTTAAACGATAAATAATTAAAAAATCATAGAAGAAATACAAAGTAAATGGAAAAACTTAATTAGCAGATTTTTTAGTGAAATACTAAAAATTCAATAGTTCCTTCCTATTGTACTTTAATCTTAAACATTGGTACTGAGTTTGATAAAACGTGCAATATAAACGTGAATTGAAGGCCATGATAATGACGAAAGTTTTTTTTGTATAGGACATCTGCAGAGAACATTAATAAGTCTTTCCAAGGTTGATTCTGGAAGCCAAAGTAAAGCTGAATTACATTATAATTCGAAAAGAGAGGACAAGGAATTAAGTAAGCAAAGTGATGGAAAAATTATTGTTGCTGCATTCGATCTACAAAAATGTTTAGCGACTCCTTATCTATCAGCTGGAATATCGTTTTATAAAAGGAAGCTAAGGACTTTTAATTTAACTATACGTAACATCACAGAAAAACGAACGCATTGTTTTGTTAGGTACGAAAGTATCGCACAAAGAGGTGCGGATGAGATTGCATCATGTTTGTTTCGATTTATTATGGAGCTACCAGATACTGTAGAGCAGATAATCTTCTACTCAGATACCTGCCCAGGACAAAACAGAAATAATATTTTACCATTAATGTTTGCATTAGCTGTCAATCAAAAAACCAGTTTAAATGAAATCCATCACAAATTTTTAGTGCCCGGACATACGCATTTGGAATGCGACAGCGATCATGCAGCGATAGAAAGATTTATAAAACATCATAGAGTTTCAATTTCTGTTCCACAAGATTGGGCAAACATTATCCAAATGACTAGTCGCAGATACACACTCCAAATGATGACACAAGAAGAGTTTTTAGGATTTTCTCAACTTTTCAAAACAATGTCATGAAAAGAAACATTGATACCGATAAAGATCTTTTTATTTGGAACAATAATTTTTGGATAATGTGTTCTAAAGACTCTAATGATGTGGAGTTCAAAGAGTCTTTAGACTCAAGTGAACCTTTTAGATACTACTCATTTGTTAAAAGGGGACGGGTATCATCGGTTGCTACTTTGAGCATACCAAGAGCATATTCGAGTCCTTTACCTATATGCTCAAAAAAGTACCATGATATTATAAGTTTGCTACCTTTTATAGATCGTGTTTATCATAATTTTTATAAAAATTTGAAAACCTCAAACACGAATCCTGACTCTGTAAGCGACAGTGACGAAAATTACGAATAAATTATAACACTTATGTTCTACTAACTTTTGATTTCAATATGTTAACTCCATTGTTATCGATTTAATTAGTTAATGTTAATTTGGTTAAAAAATGATAAGTGCCATTTAAAATGAAACGTCTGTGTTTTTAGTTTTAGTTAATATATATTAAAAAAAACCTGATTAATAAATAGTTACTGCAGCAGTGGTTAGCTTTTTCTACTTTACCTAACTGATTTATAAATTAAACTTGAACCTCAAGTCTTATACTGAAAAATTACGTTTTTGGACTTAACAGGTTTCTCCCAGACACCACAGATCTGCTGTCTTTGTTTCGGTTTTTTTAAAGATAAATTTAATCTTATATCCTACTGGTTGGTTAATCACACAGAATGTATACAGGAGCGTTTGTAGGTTACAAGAAAATCAAAATTTATAAGACGAAGTATGTCAGGATGACCATAGAGTGAAAATTGGCAGAGTTCTAAAGCACATTAGATATTATTGTAATATTAAAGATGTACATAATTTTGTAGGTCAATTTATAGAGGAACTTTACAGGGTATCGCTGTGCCATTGTGTTAAATACTCTAGTCGAATAACTTAGTCTCACACCTTAACCCATTCGAGTCTGCCATCTATTACAACATTTTTATAAGGGTGAAAAACGAGCATACAGTCCACTAATGGTAAGTGGTTGCTGTGGTGGGTGTGCAAAGACATACACATCTATCCTCAATTACGAATCAAAATGAAGATACATTGTCACCCATGAGGACTAAGATGGAATGCCTCGTTTCTAGTAAAAAGGGTCTCCGGTTCTCCACACTCACCATACGAAATACAGCAGCATTAAGCTACTATTTTACGCTGGTATTCTGTGAGAGCATGGTCCTTCCCCGACCAAGCCGACACATTCGTGCTACAACTATACTACTAATATAACTGCAGCATGGCTCTGCCACGTACAGACTGGCTGTCATGGCTGTCAACAGACAAATGACTTGTCAAGTGACAAGTGACAAGTCTTAATTTCAATTAAGTGATGGATTTATGATGGCACTGGCCAAGAGTGTAGAGAAGGTATGCAGTTAAACTTCTGATTAAAAAAATATTATGGAGAAATGCATGTGTAAATGCATTAAATGCATATAGCTTTGATTTATTGTGAAACATAATTCAAAATGGAAAATATTTTTCCATTTTGAATTATGTTTGATATGACACAATATCATACGATATTTTTTTTTTTAATTTAGCGATCCGTAAATTTATGTATCATTATATTAATATTCGCAATGTTTTATTCTCATGTTAAAAGCCAAGGAAACCTGATTTCGGACCTAGGTAACCTTAAAATTATAATCATTTTACTTCAAATGAAAAATACAATATAAAATGAAAACTTAGGGTAACATATACTATAAAAACAGTGCACCTTAAAGGTAAATCCGGCGCTGCTTTTTATCATAATATGATAGGATTATTTTAGTATATGTAGTTTTTTGTTATAATATGTAGTTGATTTATCTTTTTTTTAACCGAAAACCCATATAATCATGGATAATATTCATCATGTTATATACATATTTGATTATATTATGTATGGTGTCAATTTAACATCTCTAGACATTTTCTATGTATTACTATAGACACAGCGCTGATTAAGTAGTCAGAAGTATACATAAGTAAAACAGATTCAATAAAAAAATCTTGGTACAACTATAAATCCATTATAGCTAATTCTGGTAGACATTCAATCAGGCCTGATGTGTGCACAAGTGGTCAGTCGTTGAGGGCTCCCGGAGCTAGGGCACGAAGCAAGCGGCTGTTGGTGTGGGCACCAAACAACACGTTGAGTAAGGCAACACCGTATCCAGTAGCTCGTTCACCCTGGAATACAAATTGATGATATAAAATAAAAAATCCCAGGTTACGTCCTTGCTCTGAAAACCTCAGGAGACGCAGGTCCAGCAGAAGAACATATGTAGCCTACTCCTTAATTAATTATCTTGATTTCTTCTAAGTAAAAAATTGTAAGTAGTTAAAATACAGAATATTTTTCATCTCTGAATGTACCAACACAGGTCCTGTGTATCCCTTATCTCTGATCATATAATGTAGCATTAAATTTTCTTTGAATATTTGTATATTTATTGTGTGAACAGTTTTATTGGGTTATTGAAGATTTTGTTTGTTATACGGTGGTACCAATGTGTATCATACTATATCAAACGAGGTATAGTTCTTGTAGGGTCGTTACGTACGAAGATATTTTGGCGGCCCAAGATTTTAAGAGTGCCTCATTTTAGGCCAGGGTGGCATCATAGTCGACAAAACTGAGTAAATAGTGCAAATATGAATGGTGATATTTAGAAACTGTATTTGCCCCTGGCAGTCATCACTAACAGTTAATTTACTTGTCCGAAAGGTAAGTATATACATGCAGGGAGAATACACAGCCAGCATTCCTGACAATACAGAAAGAGTAATCATCTAGGTTAGCATAGGTGTGGATATTTACCGAGTGCGCGGGAGCGGCCATGTCTATATGCAGCCAGGCTCCTCGGAAGTCGAATCCCAAGTGCGCCAGGATGAACAGCCCAGCACACGACGGCTGAGCGTTGTTGCGGTCCTGAAAACATTCATCACCCCATATTGAGCCTGCAATATGCATCTGGACATGTCTTTTTTGAACCTGCTAATTTCCATTCATTTGTTCATTGTAAACCGTTGAAAGACAACTGCTGAACATTCCAGGCATCCCATAGATTGCAGCATATGAGGGTTATTGTTGCTACCCTCGGTACGAAGATTGGAAACTTGTTTTTTTTTATTGTAATTGCATTTTTATCAGAAATATGCTTTTGCTCATCTGTTTTAGTTTCCCTCTGTCACATCTTACGAAATCTACGGGATGATATTGGGTAGTTATGAGTGCGTGACAAGCTTTTTGGTTCTTTCTATAATGAGATACTTCTTCCACTCTTTTCTAATTTTTCTTTGCTCACAAGGGGTTAAATGGTATCCTTAGATTTTCTCAGTCCCCTCGTCGTATTTTTTAGATATTTTACTCTTTCTTTTTCCTTATATTCGGCCGATTAAACGACAGCTGACAGAATTTAATCCAAATGTCCAAATATTTTCTATTATAGCCTTTTTAGAAAAATATACAACAAATAAATAAAGTTTAAGTGTATGTTTGCAATGTCGAAATAACATATTTTTACTACATATGAAAGTATAAACAGTACTTATATCAAAAACAATTTAAAAAAAATTTACGGTCTGTCAGTCTGATTATTTTTTGGAATTCAAGTGCATGTGCATGGACACATTATATAAATAAAAAATAACAACATAACAACTGTTACTGGACACTATTAGCAATTAATTGAAAAAAAAAAGGTTTTATTCTTAAAAACTTTAGAAATTTAATTAAAATAAGGAACAAAGTTCGTCTAAGACAAGTTTAGCTTAACACATTCTAAATGATTTAAGGTATCATCCCCTTCAGGCTTTGCTGGGTGCAAAACCTTTCAAACATCCTGTATAATATGTCAGCTTTTTTAATTATACATAAGACATCTTTATATAATTGGATGGATTGTTTGTTGTTGCTGATTTAATCATTTGATTTGGTTTTTGTAAAATAAAAAAAAATTCCAAGAATAAACAAATTTGCATGTCTCCATTAGGGACTTAGTATGTAATACATAGTACTTAATAGTATCTCATGTAACATATATACTAAAAAGCAAATAAATAAATAACTTTGGGTACTTTACAGGCGGCATGTTGCTATTGTATTATCACATTTGTCAGTGTGTGCAAGAGTTTTGCAGGGTAATTGAAAAAATCTCTTTTATTGATTATATAATGATAGGCATAATCTACCAATGTTATTGCTATTCATTATTATATCATTAGAAAACACTTTTTTTAAATAATTGTATTAACTTTTTTAATAAGTTAGCGCTTTTTCTAGGACTTTCTCCTGTATTATGGAAGTGATTCCTCTACATAGACTGCATCTGAACCTAAAATTTTTCTGATTTCTGTCTCGCTTACACTTCGTCAACTGGTTCACTCAGTCTCACTTAAACTAGAATTTTAAGTAACAAGCTTGAGGAATACCATGGGGTACACAAAAATCATTTTAGACAGGTAAGAAAAATTAATTTACAACTGGATTTGTTTAAAAAAAATCATAATTTAACAAATAATCTTGCAAGTGTTACATCATTGATTAAATGCACCAACTTTTAACGTTACTTGCCAAACTCGTGTAGTACATTTTTGTTTCAGTACAGTCATATAAAATTGGGCAAAGTATTAATTTTGAATACCTTGCAACTGGAGCAGTTGGCTGTAAATTTTAAGCAACAGTTTTCAGGAGCATTATTCAGGGTAACTTAATAAAAAAGTTAAAATTTGTAGCAACAGGAGCTAAAAGACCGTCATAGCATAGATTTTCTGATTTTTTTTAAAATACATAGTAAAGATATTTTCTGTTAACTATTATGACTTTCCGGCTTGACGTCGAATTCTATCATACATATACAATAATAATTAAATAATTTTAGCAGCATTAGCCTTATAGTAAAGTGTGAGTAGTGTTAATAAATCAAAATATTAAATAGGTATATTAAATAAAAAAAATCGTTTTTCAAAACAATAAATAATTAAGTTTTTTTTTATCCTAGATCATTCGTAGAATTGCTCTCTATCTTTTCGTGAAGTTTCATTACAATCGGCTCAGCCATTTCGAACATTAGTATGGACAGACAGACAGAGAGATAGACAATTTTAAAAGAAAAATTAAACATTTAGATATTTAATTATTATCGTTAGATATTTCAATTTCATTTATATGTATAGATTATTATTATTGAATGCAATCTATCATTAGAGTTTAGATTTAGGTGAAGTTGGGGCAGTATAGGTAAATTATTAGTTGAAGAATTAAAAAAGAATAGCATGATAGCGATCATCAATCATAAATAAATGAGATGGCAAAAATGCAACCATGCGAGTTTGCGACCAGTCTCACATCTAATGAATGGAAATATGGCAAAAGGGCAACCGTCCAAGACCATAACTAAAAAGAAAAAAAAACCAGATCACTAACCGCGACGCTGTTCTTCATGTCGGCAACGACGCTAGAGAACTCGGTGAAGTGCAGCTCGGGCGCGAAGGGCAGCGCGTGCGCCAGCTCGCCGCTGCGCAGGCCGGCGCGGACGCAGCGCCGCTCCAGCGCCGCGCAGTTGGACAGCACGCCCGCGTGGTACTTGCCCGTCGCCGTGCCCTGCCACACACACCACCATGCTTACAGCGTACCATACAAACCATGAAGGTTAGAGAACAGGAGAACGATCACTACGTACTAAAGCATAGCCCACCTGTCCTTGAAAATTGTAGAATATATAGCGGCGCTGACGTCGGTGAGTAGTGACTGCGAAGAAGTACTGTTTACGAGTATAAGTAGATGAAGTTATTTGAATAATGTACAAATTTTCATTTCATTTTTAATGAGAAAATTTTCATGCTCCGTAATTTTGTAATTTTTGACAAAAAGAATCATTAAAAAATGGAGAAATATTTTATTGTGCGTGGATGTGCAAGTGGTTTAGCATCTAATCGGAAAAATAGACTGAAAATGACTTTTATTGACCGAACCTCGAGCGATCGCAGCGCCTCACTTATGGTGTCTATTTCTGGACACTATTTTCTACGATGATCGTTCTCCTGTTCTCTAACCTTTATATACAAACAGAAAGAAATACATCGCTGCACCGGAGGACGCAGGGTGGGAGTGGGAGAGCGCGATGCGGTCATTGACCTCGCGGTAGTACGAGCGCTTCCGTTTCTCACTCAACTGCGAGACGCGATAGAATACGGGCATTTAACTTTTTAATTTATAATACGTTTGTTCAGATGTTGCAACATACTATAAATAAAGTCCACTGGCTTTATTTATAAAAGTCCCAATACAGCCTAAACAAATATAATAGAAATAAAATAACTAACAATCCCCTCTTTGTTTTGTACAGGTAATTTCTGGATCTCGGCAACAGTGATACCTACAGGATCCAATTTTGAATCTAAACCTTTCTCAAATCAACTTAATCACACACAAAATTTCATCAAAATCTTCCAGCCGTTGGGGATGAATTACAGCACGTTATTATGTGCATATATTATATTTTCACAAATATATTGCGATGCAAAAGTTCATATGTTCATATTTTTAAAATTTTCTTTACAATTTAAGTTATAAATCGCCCATACAGCCATATTTTGCAAAACAAATATGACTTCAATGTCAGTCGCATTATCCCACAGCAAGGTTCCATAAGAAATTATGCTATGAAAGTAACTAATATATATATATATGTATATATATATCTTCGTTGCGCGAAGTAAGGTAATAAGACATATGGAAAGATCACAAAAAATACCTAAGGCATTTTATGAATTCTCCCAGGCATTGAAAATATATTTCATAAGCTCAAAACCTACGTCCGTCATCGAGTGACCCCTTGTAAAACCAAATTGATTATTGTGGAGGAATTTAATTCAATAAAAAAAAAAACAATTGATCCAAATTTATTTTTTCAAAAATTTTACTGAGAGTTGTTTACAGAAATAGGTCTAAAATAAGTGGGGTGCAATGTACTACCAGATCTAGAGGTATTTCTTTACTATGTTTAATTAAATCAGAAAACACACCAGATTCGATACCAGTATTAAAAATAATAGCAAGATGAAGAGCAATTAAATCTATTATGATGCATAAATGTAACGGAAATCCCCCATAAATCTGTAGTTTTCTTTATATGAAGGGTTTTGAATTTTTTCCAATAGTTTGTGTTAATACTTTTCAAATCTAAATTCTTTTTAAAACAGGTATTAACTTCTGTTTGAGTAATGACTCGGCGACAGTTGGAGAACTTCAATAACTCTGTTGTTAAGAAAGGAATATTAGTGAAATATTTCTCCAGCACTGCTGCGACTTCTTGATTTGATCTAGACAATGCGTTATTAATTTTCAATTGATAGTTTATGTTATGAGCTTATGAGGTTTGTATTTACTGGTTTCACTATTGATTCTCCACGTCATTTCAATTTTATTTTTAGCAGCCTTAATTTTGTTGCTAATATGTAGATTTGGCTGTGGAGCACAATCTTTTAAACATTTTAGAATAATTTTGACATATTCTTTAAAAGTATCAGAAAGGATTTATGATCTTTCATAGTAAAGTTCACACAATCTTCGTTTGCTCTTATGAATTCCTACTGTCGCCCACTCGTTAAATGCCTTGTGGCAGTTACTGAAGAATGTTTTAGAAGTAAATGTTTTATTAAATTCATTGCTTACAAGGGTAAATAATCCCATGTCTGAATTGTTATTGTAAGAAAGCTATATAAGGTTTTTATGCCATATTACTTTTAAACCTCTCCAGGCGTTTTGCATTATTCGGAACAAACACAATTTCCTGTTTTTTGGGCATATAAGGCAATTAAACTAGTTGTACAAAATAATCTGAACTTAGTTTTTAAATTATTAATTTGTTGATTAGTACAACATCTGTACAAATATGCACAGCACTCTAAAATATGTGTAGCTTCAAAGAATAAATTATCAAGATTGTATGATTTGAACAATGAGCAAAATTTAATACAGATGGAAGAAGCTTCCAGGAGATAGATATTAAAGTCTCCGCATACTACAAGAAATTCATTCTGTTTATTAAGGTGAAACCTACGGACTGTTCCCAGGCATTCTCCGCAAGATGGCGCTGAAGTCAACATTTTTAGTTTATTTGGATTTTTGTGTAATTGGAAAATTATTAAGTCGTAGGAGTAGACTTAGCGGTTATCGGATATTACATTTTATTGGAATGGGTCATATCATTGCCTCAAAATCCACCCAATTCGACACAAATTTTGGTTATAACATCTGTCATTGAATATGGTGTCGTTTACACACACAGACGTATCCCTACGTTTACGAACCTAGAACACTAGATGGCGAGTATGTAAAAAAACAAACGCAGTTTTATTTTATTACATTACACTATTGAATTTTTTATCAAAACAGAAGTACCTATTTGAAGCAACATAATTATGCTGATACATGCCTATTCACTCAAAACTAATAACACTGATGATTTGTAACAGTACCAATTATTACAATAATTAGACATTTCATAACCAACACAACAAAAAATCTATAACACGATTTATTTTGTGATAATAACCAGGAAGTTTGAAAATAATATTTCCTAATTTCGAAGCACTCAACAAAAGCTTTTAGTAAAACAAAAATATAAATCCTATACCTACGAGCAATTCTTGTGTGTGTAATATATATATATATATATATATATATATATATATATATATATATATATATATATATATATATATATATATATATAATCGGAATCTCGGAAACGGCTCCAACGATTTTCATAAAATTTAGTGTCCAGGGGTTTTTGGGGGCAATAAATCGATCTAGCTAGGATTCATTTTTAGAAAATGTCGTTTTGTCCGTGTTTTCAGGCAATGAAAAACTGCTACAATATAAGAAGGTAAATTTTGACACTATATTAATGGTCGTAATAGCTCAAGTGGATAACGCACTGTCGCGAAATCGTAGTTCCATGGATCGCGTCTTGTCTTAGGTTTGACTTTTTTCCCTTTTTTTTCAAGTTCCCTTCTTTTGTGAGAAAATCTATTATTTCGAGTCCTTTTTGTAGTATTTTTTTAAAATACGAAAATTTTATTGCACTCATGATTTTTCATTCTAATAAACAGTTCAGTTTTTTTCTATTATGTCGGTAAGATCAAAAATATTCTTCATATTTTATCAGTATGTATTTTTTATCTAAATATAACTTCCAAAACACACGATTTCCAAAAAAAAGTACCGAGAAATGCTCGGTCATCCAGGTACTATACAATATAATATATACAAATCTTCCTTCAATTCTATATGAATTGGGTTGCGTTCGGAACACAAGATCTAGAACACTAATATGTACAAAAATTTACTTATTTTTTTATTTCAATGTTATCTTTATATTCCTGGTAGAATTGGCCAACAAATAAGAAAAATATAACTCAGATTAGAATAAGCTATTTATTTATTAAACAATAAAGCACGGAACAGAAAAAAGGATTTTATGTAACAGAATTATATTTGTTTCTGAACGCACGATAAACGTGAACTTGAGCTCTACAAAATATAACAAACTAATAATGTGTGTCTGTCTGAAACTGTTTGCAAAATGCGTAAAGGGTGTTTAATGTAACCCGGCAAAACCATATTTAGCAAATGTTTGGAAGTTTAATTTTGTGACTACTTTGGCAGTTTACCGATTTATAATAATTGTATTTATTGTTGACCAAAAACATATTCAAACACATTCATATATGAAACACTGACACGTATGATGTAGGTAATCAGTATTGTGACGATATTTCAGAAAAATCACGGGCCAGCCTGCTGTTAATAATACTACCGTAAACATAATTGCGTTTTTAGAATAATTAATTACTATATCTACAGACCGATTTACACTTCGACAAGTACAGTAGCGAGTTAACTTGCAAACCAGGCGAGTTAAGTTTGAACCTCGTTTGAAAGGCAATAAGCGAGTTAAGTAGCAAGTTAACGATTAAGTTGAACGGGATAGCCGTCCGAGCTATTTTTCGGCGAGTTAAGTGCGAAGTGCTGCCCTCCCGCGCCACCCGCAACTAACCTCGCCGTTCGTGTAAACGAGCGAGTTTAGTTCAGTGCATAAGTTGACAGGACGCAACGTTTGCGCGCCAAAACGTACAATTGTACTTTTATAATGAAACTCGCCACAAAGTTTTGTACGATAGTGTTTATTGAATATTTATAAGTTTTATATTGAGTTTTAATAATAAAATGGACGGAAGATAACACGTATAAATTCGTACAGGAGTATTTAGAACACGAATGTTTATATAATAGTAGAAGTTCAAATTGTAAAATTAAACCTGCTCGAGATGCTGCACTCATGAAAATTCTTAAAAACTTCTTTAACAACAACCATTAATACTTCTCTGACTGGATCATTTAATTCTAGACGTAATTCTAGAACCATCTTAAACGAAAACCAAAAAAAAATTCTGTAGTCTTGGAACGTCATACTCCAACGAACTCTACGAACTAATGTTCTAAACTAAACTCATCACGAAGACATTGTTTGAACGCTACTGCCCACTTAACCGTTTACTGTCAACTATCCTGTAACTAAACTCGCTACTGTACTTGTTGAAGTGTAAATCGGTCTTACGATAAATTACAATATAGTCTCAAATATATACTAGAGAAATATTGCAATTCGTATCAATGAAAACATACATACAAAATATGTATAATACACAAGAAATTCCGCGCGCAAATCATAGCGCGTGACAACCGAAATCAGAATATATTTTATAACAAGTTAAACAAGTGAACGACGTTTGGCAAGGCTTTTGTTTCGTCAATTCAAGGTCAGGAATACGTTAGCACTCATAACAGTTTGTTGTCAGGAAGGACGGCAACGTCGCTTTACCTACTGCTTTTGGTATTTATGTTGCCACACAACAATAATAAGTAATAAAATTGTTTACAAAAAACATAGGTGTCTAAGGTCATTAGTTTTATCTTATTTTATACTGTTTTTTTTAACGGTTGGAAAGGAAATTAACCAATTATTGAACTTAAGATATTGATTTATCAGAATTATTTAAGATCACTTCGATGCCATCTAGCGTGCCAATGAAAAAATTTAAACGTTGCCTTTCGTTTGCTTGTCAATAGTCACGCAAAATACTAAAGAAGTGTCAAATTTTTCCGGAATTTCACTATTGTTTTTCTCAGTAGATAATGTAAGTTATTGCCTATAAAGGTCAAACGCGTACACATTTCATTGTAGAGAAGTGATAAAATGATTAGTTTTAAAGAAAGATAATTTTGGTTAAAAAATGTATGGGCGGACGGTCGACGCATCCACCTTAAGCTGAACTAAAACTTCTTCCATAATTTTTTGCAAAGGTATATTGTTGTAAATATGTTATGTATGTATTATATGTTGTGTATTACCTTGACGTGGAGGTCAGTAAATACTTACAACAAAGAGGTGCTGAAACTCAACACATGCCATTTCTAAAGTTCGCTCAACAGAGAGGCTCACAATATCTTTAAGTTCTTTACATGATAGGAATTTACTAGCTAATATTAAGGAGCCACCACGTAACTTAGTATCTCTAATGAAATATTAATTATAATAACTGACCACCAGGTGTTCACTGAAATTAAATATGGAGTTGTAATTTTTCAACCAACATTCAGTAATACATAAATAATATGTATATAGTTACTATTTAAAAATAAGTCAATTTCTAATTCTTTGCCTAACATACCGTGTATATTTTGATGCACCAGGTTTATACAGTTTCTATTATTACTATTTTGTGAAATTACACAATTAAGTATTAGTGAGTTGTATTCTATAAGCTATTCAAATTATCTTTGCTAGAGATTACTCCAATTGTCTTATTATCTAATTTAAATTATTTGGAACTGACTGCAAATCAATTGTAAAATTATTTTGCTGTTCAATGGAAGTACGTGTCAAGGTTAAAATATAAATAATGAGATAGCGTATTTGCTACCAGTCTTATACTATATTTTGATAGGTAATACCTATCCTACGAGCACTTAACCCGAGAAGTAATACATTCGAATTTTAAAGAAAACAATTTTGTCAACTAGTTGCGGTGCGGGGGGAGAAGTGATCGCTGCGAAGTACTCCGAACTATTCCGAAGAGATTCCGAACACGATCGCTAGGGCGTGCATAGTAATAAATTTATGCTTTCTATCGATATTGATAAATTTTTTCGCTTTTTTAATACATAATTTCAGTACCAGTAACTAGCTCTTGACTGTGACTTCAATTTTCCTGTGCAACTAAGAAATGCAATTTTAAATGTACTAACTTTTCAAGCAGTATACTCAGGTAAAATATAAATGCCAACTTCGAAAAAAAAATCAAGATTCAATTAAAAGAGTTTAAAATAAACTTTTAGTGATTTGTTGAACTTTAACATAAAATTACTTTAACATAAAACATTAAAATATTTAATACTTGGTAGAGCCATGCTGCAGTTATATTAGTAGTATAGTGGTACAATGAATGGGTCTACAGAATACAAGCATAAAATAGTAGCTTTATGCTGTGTTTCGTATGGTGAGTGTAGAGAACCGGCAACCCTTTTTACTGGAAACGAGGCATTCCATTCCCCATGGGTGAGAACAAATCTGCATTTAGATTCGTAATCGAGGATAGATGTAGATGTCTATGGGCCACAGTAACCACTTACCATCATATGTATTGTGTGCTCGTTTGTCACCCTATCCTATAAAAAAGGCCCCATAGGAGATACGCAAGACAGTTCGGCTCAAGGTTGAGGCACTATGAGGCAGTACGGAGAGATTGAAAAGAGAATAAAAAAGATTTTCATGTTTATTTATTATATTTATTTTATTAAGTGCTATTATTGATTTTTAAAATGAATTAATTTTGTATATATTCTCCTAACTGCACATTTTCCTTCCAATTTTTGATTTTTAAGTATAAATGTCATTCTTGTGTCAATATATTTCTTCATTACACTTTTCGTTAAATCATAATATGATTGGTCGGCGTAAAATTGATGATGTGTATACTCCGTGAATAATTGTTCTTCTGTAAAGCTGCTAAGAGCTTTACAGTTCAGCGGTGATTTTTCCTTTAGTCACTATTAATAATATCTTTCTTGATTACGGACTCGCAACGCCGACATATTTTAACGACCATTTCTGAGGGATAAATTAACCCTCCATTATCTTTGTAGAATATGAGACTTTTTATTTTATTTTAATGACACTAAAGCCTTTATACAGGTATTGCAACTGAGGCAAAAACAGCGTAAACAAGTACTGTACTTCTCATTAGGTGCCGCGTCTAGTTTGTCTAGTAAAATGTTGTGAGCACATTACGCAATATTTTGATGGAAACCAATTTTCTCTTTTTGTAACGTTTATCGATTTGTTTTTCATATTACCATCTTTTGGAAACCTATAGGGAAAAAAATCATACAGTTGAAATAAAATAACATTGTTATCGTACTTAATTAAGAATAATTATAATTAATATTATAAAGTATTACTAAGAGTAGTAAATAATAATCTACTACTCTTAGTAATACTTTAATATAAAATTACACACACACACACACACACACACACACACACACACACACACACACATATATAATATATATATATATATATATATATATATAAATATATATATATATATATATATATATATATATATATATATATAATATTAATAAATTATGTATCTGTCTATATCTTATATATCCAAAACAACGATATCTAAATACAATAATCATTTTGTGGATAATTATCGACAATACGAAATAAATATACCGCACTGCACTGGTCATTAGCGTCACGAGGCTAATTATAATTAGGAGAGACAGACATACATGTTTGCAGTAAATGCAAAAAGGACGGGGAGTGACGCGTGGCGGAACCGTCCAGTTTAACTTGACCATCGTTGCGTAGTAAAAATTTTGAAAATATTTTGGTTAAATAAAGAAATGTACTTACCGATGAAAAGTAATATTGCTTGTTGTTATACTACATGTTTTACTGTTGTTTCCGCACCATTTAAAGGCACTACAAGACATGATGCCGTAAATTGATTTTAATTTATATTTTAAATGTAAGCCGTCTCTTCGGTTCTAGTTTTTGGTCGTAACTGGATGGAAGCAAAAGTGTTCCGAAATATATCAGTGACTAGTCACTGACGAGTTGACAGATTCGGGTCGCCTTGTATTACGTCTCTATAGGGTTAAGTGCTCGTAGTACCTATCTCTTGACCAAAAGTAGTTAAATTATTAATATCAATCTAATGAGTTTTATCATTATAATTCTTACAGTTAAATGTCAAATTTAAATTATTATTACATGTCAGATTATGCATTGTTAAATTTAAAATAAATCATAGTCAATTTTCCTGTGGCCACCACTGTATGTAAGGAAATGTAAACAAGATAACATTAACATTTAGGTTATTAAGATAATCAATATATGTAATTTAATAATTTATTCTTGTTATTGCCTATTCTCTCAACAAAAATGATTAATATACTATTATATTAGGGCAAAAATTACTAGTTAAAATTTTATTCTGAATGATGCTGCAGGCATGCAGTCATTATTTATCTGACGACACTCGAGACTTATTAAAATGAAAATTTAATAAAGACCATGGATATAATATAGTATTTTAAACACAATTTTGTTGCTCGAGAATTGATATTTCTAGAAATAGTTTGCTCGAAAAAAAATGCACATACATGAAATAGTCAACTAAATAGAAAATAAATTGCATACACTCTCGTGCCTATGATTCTGTCCTGCACACATGGGTGGTTTCTGCTTTGACTAGAAGCAATGACCTAAAATCAGTCTGCAGGATATTGTTATACTTCACTAGGAATCGGAATGCAGATGCGTTCTCACCCCTATAGACTAAAACTAAATGCCTCGTTACCAGTAAATGGCTAAAAAGGTTCTCTGGTTTCGGACACTCTTTATGCAAAACACAGTATTATATTGTTTTTTGATGTTGGTTAACTGGTATTCAATGATGGTCATTCTGGCCAACAAAGATTTTAATGAAATGGAAAGTCGGCCACTAGCATATTGTTCTATTTTTGCAATATGAATTACGAACGACAATATACACAGTATTTAACACACCTGTGCACCGGTCAACGTAGCAATGTCCACAATGGTGTCCGCTTTAAGGTCCCTTTGAGCGTACACCACACCGTCGCTCAACACCAGACGCCCTGAAACGAGATAATTATGTACTTATTTTGTTTTCATATTCAGTATCAAGACTTAACAAAAAACCCACCACTGGAAGTTTGTCTTTATTTGTTATAATTGATATGTTGAATAGTGGCACTGACTTTCGAAACAGTGTTGTACTAATAGCTAATTTGATACATCTTTATGAATGTGATAAACCTATTTAATTACGCTGCGTATAACATTTTTAATATCATTGTATTGTCAATGCCATTGTATAATTATTTTTGATGGGAAATATAGTTGACATTTATTACATTAAATTATTTCATGTTGTTATACATTAATTAGTAGATATTATATCTTTTGTAACAACTTATTAACTATTTTTATAGCTATTCTTCTTTTTATGTTTTCATATTTGTACACCATTGAGCCGGTCACAGTACGCGAGCAAATCGGGTTTGATCCCCGCCGGCACCAACGAATTCGTTAATTGCAATTTTAAGTGCTGATTTGCCACATGCTCGGCGGTGAAGGAAAACATCGTGAGGAAACCTGCATGTCTGAGAAATAAGAAAAATATATTTCGAAGACATGTCAAGTTCAGAATATTAGTTTTAAAACTAATATTGCACAAAAAAAACTTATAAACTCTACTTCAAAATAAACAAATTAAATAAGCAAAATGGCGGATTGTGTCAGCGCTACTGAAGTAGCAATCGTGTCCTGGCCGAAAACTATTTCAGCGCTTGTAAGCGCTTGCTAGCGCTTTTTTCTGCCAAACGCACCCATTGTTTTATTATTTACCTGTGATCATTTTTTTTGTATACTACTTACTCTAAACATTTTATATTAATGTTTTTCTTGGGTTCGTATAATTTCATGTGCATTTTAGTCGAATGGTATATTTTTATGTAATATTATATAGTTTATTCCTTAAATAATTTAATAGAAAACACTCACATGGCTTCGAGTATAGGTACAAGCTTGTACACGTTTTAATATATCACTTATTTTTTATTAGAGAAATTTTTGCTCAAGGTATTCAACAAATACGATAATTTTATTGATGTATATGATATATCTACCACATTTATATATAATAATCAAGTTCTAATTATCTACAACTACCCTGTTTGGGATGATTACATAATTATATATTTTTATAAACTTGATTTGCTTTTAGCTCTCAACCACCAAGCGGTAGCATGCGACCGCGGCCATAATCCGTCAAATCCCTAGCGGTCTCATGAGGTCGCACCCACAGATAGCACTTCAACCCATAAAAACTTAGATATAAAGACTACTTTTCTATGAATAAGTTTGGCATTATATAATCAATATGAAATGCTCTATCCTTTAGTGCAATGAAAAAACTGTTATCTTGTGAATATTTATTTATAATCTACGTTTATTTCGTAAGTCATTTTCGCGTGAATGTTATTGTGTTGATTTTTGGATTTTTCTAGTGTTTTAGTATAGTGTTTTATTATAAAATTATAATGAAAGTTTTCATGTGAATATAATTTATCTATTTACGTAAATAATTTCGAGTAAGATATAGAAATAATTGTGATTTTCACGCTGCCGACATTCGGTTGGTATATTTTCTTTTTGTTATCAAAATACAATAAAATCTTTTTGTAATGAAGTAATACCTGACTTTTGTTTAGACCACAAGATAGAGTATTTTGTATAGATTTTATAATGCTAAACTTCTTCACAGAAAAGTCTTCTCTAAATATAAGTTTTGATGGATTTAAGTGCTGTGGGTGGGTGCGGTCGCTTGCGAGCGCTCGGGGTTTGCCGGGCGCATGCCACTGTACGAGATTTTTAAGGGGCTCGAGGGGTTAAAAAGTTTTATATTTGACAGGATTTTTACTTATTTGTTATTTTCAAATCAAACGATAACAAAAGTAAACGTCCGCGTCGTCATATCGCTTAACACTGTCCGCTCAGTGAGCGCGAGCGGGCACCCCCTCCGCCCTTGTCGGTGACGAGTCACGCACACATACACGCGCGTGTACCGGCGTTCTCGCGCACGCCGGTAGTATCAAGCTTTCATTCTGCTCCGTTTTATATTCTTGTAGTAGTGGGATACTATGGTGTTACTAACGTTCTTGACCTTAATAAGAATTTACTCACGGCATTGCCCAGTAGTGGGATGTATATGGACTGTAACTTTAATATGGGGTTATAAAACAACAGTCTTAAAAATAACTTACCCTCTGCATCAGTGTTGTTGATTTCCACAGTACGTCCTGAGTATAACTGATGGATGTCATCCGGCCTGTTGAAGATAAATTGGAGGTATTGAGTTCAAAACTCAATCACAAATGATTGATCTACAGCTCTAATAATTGTGTTAAGAGTCCTTGTGTTTCTGACCGATTATTTCCGTTCTTATCCAAAATGCAGGGGTTTCTAAAATATCCCGTTTTTTTCAAACAAAGGAAGGAAAAAATTATCAATTAAATATTTTTTTTAATGAAATAAACCACAAATAAATATCAACCCAATTATAATTCAGCAATTCATTACAAGTTAGAAACTGATAAGCCGCGCGATTAAAATTTTTTAAAGAAAATATCTGGAATTATCTGCAAAGGTTCGGTATTTTCTATGGATTTTTTTATTGGAGAAGGTCGCGAACAATTAGGGTACTACAATTTATCTGCTAAGCATTAATAGCTTCCTATTCTCATTATTACTTTTGAATATTTATGTATTATATTCAATTGTACAACATAATATTTTGTAATTTAATATTTAAAAAAGTCGACCCCCATGGTCGAAACATAAATCACTTTAAGTAACTATTACTTAAACTAGTATTTTCTTGTAATCAATATTATCTTGTACTCGGAAGTTATCGTCGTGGTTCAAATAGTACAGGAGAACAGGACTGGATACGATATGTCATCACATCATCATGAAGTAGTTATGGTGGTATACCTGGTGGAATCAGGTCCGACGGCGTTCTCCGCTAGACAGAGTACAGCGTGCAGATCCACGGTGGGTCGCTCGCGTACCATAGCTGCGAAGGCACCAAGCACCGCCGCAGCGCCCCCACAGTCACCCTTCATGCCCACCATCGAGCTCTATAACACATGTGGCGAATCAATCAGTAACTGGAATGGATCATAACATCGAAACCACTACGTCATACATCAGGTGATAGCCTACGTTACCGAGCAACGCCCGCTTAGATTTAATAAAAAATCAAGTTCAAATTTTGAAAATGCAACTCTTTGCCAATATCATTGTGTATTGTAGGAAGGTAGTTAAATAGAATTAATTTACAATCACAAAATACACGGATCACAGGTAATCAAATATAAATTGTACTGAGACAAATTTAATAGCTGGTAATAATAATTGATTCGTTTCCACGAATTAATTATCCGAATAGTCTAGGATGAGCTAGTAGCGGGATACAACAAGTGCACCGTGCTACGCCAGAGCCATGACTGCGTTAACGGCGGCCGATCCGTCCATTTTATACAATCGCGACAAGTAGCTACACGAGCGCCACTGCAGGTGCAATGCGCAGGTGTGCGGTGCACGTGTTGTTTACAACAATTCCGACTAGCCACAGAGGCGCTGCTGCACGTGCAATGGTGCAGGTACCGACATAATGTATTTTATTAATTTGTCATTCGTTTACGATTTGGCGGCAAATTGAAAATTGTCCGTATCACGTCAGCATGAATTTAATGCGAGAAAACTTCACTGCGGAGTACACAGACGTAATAATTAAATGCACTTCTTAAATAAATAGCAGAAGCTTCAATAACTTCTACGTCGTCCATATCGTTCCAATTCTCAACGACAACTAATTACGGCCAACATATGGATAGCTCCTAAAGTTGTTCAAAACGACTGGAAATCAATAGCACGCCACAGACTATAAACTATAAATTTCTAGCGCGCTATTAAATACGCTATGTTATAGCGCGCTATTTATAAGGTGTAAGATGTAAGAATAATAATAATAGTAATAATAAATAGTAATAATAAATTACAAGTACTTGCCGGAAGCCGTGCTCGAAAATGATCGCGCCAGGCTCTATTGGGAACGAGCCATCATCACAGACAGGACTATTCTTGCGAATAAGCCTGATATTGTGCTGATGGACCGGGCACAGTCAAGGATATTTTTGGTCGACATTACCATTCCGTATGATGAGAACCTCGTGAAAGCCGAAACAGACAAGCAAACAAAATATCTGGACCTGGCTTACGAGGTGACTGACATGTGGGGTGGTCTGCCGGCCGAAATTATTCCTGTAGTCGTCTCTGCAAACGGGCTAATCCCAGTCAGCCTCTCGGGTCATCTGAGGCGACTGGGACTACGTGGCGGACCGCTCCGGGCTCAAATGCAGAAGGCGGTGCTCCTCGATACCGCCCGCATCGTCCGCCGGTTTCTTTCCCTTTCCCCCTAACCCTCGGCCGTTTGGTCTCCCCTGCCGAGGGCCTCCATGTGGTTGGTCTTTTATTTATTTATTTATGTATTTTTATATTTATTTTATGTTATTGATATTTATGTATATTTATTTTTTCATTTTCATTTATAATTATATATTTATAGAACCCAACCAGATGAGAAAACTATATAGATACCCCGTAATAATAATAAGGTGTAAGTGTAAGGTGTAAGATGCCGGAAAGCGCGTTGAGTTTTGCAGCACGCAATATCTCGTAGCACGATACATTACATGTCGTTCAAGGGGCAGAGCGAGAGCTATATAAGAACATTATTTCGTAATAAGTCGCATTTTAGACTAAAATAAAATAAAGCGGTAAAAAGACCAATTAACGCTTTTTCGTACTGTTTAGGCTTACGGCTTTCTATAATCCTAAAAATATTTTAAGGCATGTACTTTTTAAAACGAAACAATTTTTTTTTATTATAGTTGATGTAAACGTATTTTAACCTTAATATAAATTATAAATCAAATAAAGGTGTATTTAAAAGTTTATTGATTGTATTTATAAAAAATCAACTTATTTATAAAATACGCTATTATATACACTTTTGTATCTCCACATTTAAAAACATTAATTAGACTCTTTTATAGCAGACAACTGTGTCATTCGATCACTTATAAATATACAGTATACACTAACTAAACAACGTCTAACATTAAATTAGGTCGCGCGCGATGAATAGTGTGCTACTAAATCAAATTTGCGTCACACGTCCTCTCCCAACAGCGCTGCTGCTACAACTAGTTACCGCTAGATATTAAAAATTAATAGCGCCAAAGCGCCATAGCGCAATAGCACCATGGCGACTACTTACATAGCACGCGCTATGTGTTATGAAGAGATAGCGCGCTATAATATGACGCTATGCGCTATATTAACCACCATTAATAGCTCCACACAAACTCGTGAACATTGGCCTTGGCATTGGTCTCTTTCGAACTTGACCACCAACGTGTAGACTGTAGCACTCGCCTTGTATCAATTTGCCTAAGCTCGCGTTGGCTGAGGCTTGGCTAACATGTATTACCGGGGTTAGATGGTTATCGCTCGCTGTAAATTTCACAGTACGCGAGCAAAGCTGTAGCTACATTACTGGTATAGTTGTAGCACGAATGGGTCGGCTCGACTGGTGAAGGACCACGCTTTCACAGAATACCAGCGTAAAATAGCAGCTGAATGCTGCTGTGTTTCGTATGGTGAGTGTAGAAAACCGGAAAACCTATTTACTGGAAAAGAGGCATTCCATCTTAGTACTCACGAGTAGACAACGCATCTGCATTTTGATTTGTTATCGAGGATAGATATAGATGTCTATGGGCCACAGCGACCACTTGTCATCAGGTGGATTGTTTGCTCGTTAATCATCCTTATTCTATAAAAAAAAACCCCGGGTATTAGATCACGGCCGACACCAACGAAATTGTTAACTGCAATTTTAAGTGTTGATTTACTACATGCTCGGTGGTGAATGAAAACATTGTGAAGAAACCGGCATGTCTGAGAAATAAGAAAAAATATTTCAAAGACATGTGAAGTTCGCCAATGTATTCGCCTACACAGTCAATGGGTTGACTTATTTTCAATTGCATGGATGGCGGTCTGAACTTAGTGATAACCGTGTTTATATTTAACGTGGCTTTTGTAGCCAATAGACACATGCACATACCATTAATTAGTTATTCATCATCATCATCATCATCATCACAGCCCTTCACAAGTCCACTGCTGAACATAGGCCTCCCCCAAGTAATGCCACAAAGCACGGTCCTGAGCCACCTGCATCCATCGACTTCCTGCATATCTTACCAGGTCGTCACTCCATCTAGTGGGGGGTCGCCCTACACTACGCCTACCAGTACGAGGCTGCCACTCGAGAACCTTTCATCCCCATCGGTTATCGGTTCTTCGAGCTATATGGCCGGCCCATTGCCACTTCAGCTTACTAATCCGTTGGGCTATGTCGGTCACTCTGGTTTTACTGCGGATATCCTCATTTCTGAGTCTATCATGCAGAGAAACTCCGAGCATAGCCCTCTCCATAGCTCGCTGAGCGACCTTGAGCGTCCTCATACGGCCAGCAGTGAAGGACCACGTCTCTGATCCGTAAGTCATCACTGGCAACACGCACTGGTTGTACACTTTAGTTTTCAGAGATTGAGGTATACCTGACGAGAAGATGTGTCGTAATTTCCCGAACGCTGCCCAGCCGAGTTGCATCCGTCGATTGACCTCTCGGTCGAAGTTGGACTTACCTAGTCGGACTATTTGTCCCAGGTAAACGTACTCGTCAACAACTTCGAGCATAGTGCTCCCAACAACTACCGGCATAGGTGTGACATGGACATTAAACATGATCTTTGTTTTGTCCATGTTCATCTTAAGACCTATCCGTTGGGAGGCACTATTGAGGTCATTGAGCATAGTGCTTAAGTCCTCCAGCGATTCTGCCATAAGGACTATATCGTCGGCAAATCGATGGTGAGTGATGTACTCGCCATTGATGTTAATACCGTATCCTTTCCAGTCCAGTAGCTTGAAAACGTCTTCCAAAGCAGCGGTGAAGAGTTTCGGGGATACGGGGATATAACGTCACCCTGTCTTACACCTCTCTGCAGTTGGATAGGTTTCGAGCTCTGGTTCTGTACTCGGATAGCCATCGTAGCCCTACTGTACAAACACTTCAGCACTTCGATATACGGACAGTCAACTTGGCACCGCTGAAGGGACTGCAGCACCGCCCAAATTTCGACGGAATCAAAGGCTTTCTCATAGTCCACATACGCCAGGCAAAGTGGCAAATTGTACTCTTCAGTCTTCTGTACAATCTGCCGCAGGGTATGAATGTGGTCTATGGTACTGAAGCCTTTTCGGAAACCGGCTTGTTCGGGAGGCTGGAAGTCGTCGAGTCTGCGTGCGAGACGATTCGTAATGACTCGAAAACAGCACGTAGACGCGGCTCATAAGGGAAATCGGTCTGTAGTTCTTCAAGAGAGCGTTGTCGCCTTTCTTAAAGAACAAGACCACCGCACTTCTGCTCCACGCCTCTGGAGTAGTGCCACCATGGAGGACGGAATTGAAGAGCTTCTGAAGGACTTCAAGCACCGGTGTTCCACCCGCTTTCAGAAGCTCCGCTGTAATTCCATCCTCGCCTGGGGCCCTGCCGTTTTTAAGGTGCTGGAGAGCCATTCTAATCTCGCTTAGACTGACGTCCGCGATATCATCGGAATAGTATCGGATAAGACTTGCTCTTGGATCGTTACTCACACTTGCGTGTGGCTCCAACGATGATGTGTACAGCTGCCCATAGAACCTCTCAATCTCACTCAAAATCTCAGGTGTCCCGGAAACGATGCTGCCACACTCAGTTTTCAGCCTTGACAGTTGGCTCTTACGGGCAGACAGATCTCTGGCAAAGACTTTGGAGCCCTGGTTCCGCTCGATCGCTTCTTTAATACGAGCAGTATTAAAGTTGCGTAAGTCTCGCCGCATGCATTTGGAGATCTGTCTGTTCAGTTGCCTGTATGCTGTCAAATCTGTTGACGATTGCAGCCTCATCTCCCGTCTAACAGCCATGAGATTAAGAGTGTGATCGGAGAGTTTTTGTGTTCTTCTGCGGCGGGTCTTGCAGAACTTAGCTCCGACCGCATGAACAGTTTCCACGAGCTTGTCATTCACATCGTCCACTGCATTGCAATCTTGTAGGCACTGAAAGCGGTTGTGTAACTCGAGCTGAAAGTTTTCGGGATTTTGGATTAGAGCACGAGGGGGGACGGAGCGTTCACTTCATTAGACGAGACCTCTCTAACTTAACGTTTAGGTTCAGTGTGCCTCTAACCATTCGGTGATCGCTGCCAGTTTTCACCCTTGCGATCACTGAGACATCACTGAACAGTTGGCGTCTGGTCGTCATAATGAAGTCAATCTCATTTTTTGTCGAACCGTCGGGGCTCGACCAGGTCCACTTCCTGTGGGGCCGCTTTTTTTTTTTTTTTTTTTTTTTTTTTTTTTTTTTTTTTTTTTTTTTTATAGAATAGGGTGACAAACGAGCACACAGTCCACCTGATGGTAAGTGGTTGCTGCGGCCCATAGACATCTACATCTATCTTCCATTACAAATCAAAATGCAGATGCGTTGTCACCCGCGAGGACTGAGATGGAATGCCTCATTTCCAGTAACAAGGGTCTCCGGTTCTCTACACTCACCATACGAAATACAGCAGCATTAAGCTACTATTTTACGCTGGTATTCTGTGAGAGCGTGGTCCTTCCCCGGTCGAGCCGACCCATTCGTGCTACAACTATACTACTAATATAACTGCAGCATGGCTCTACCACGTAAAACTTCTGGAAGAAAGAGTTCATCATAAAGAGTCCCTCTTTCTCCATAAAGTCGGCCAGCTGCTGGCCCCTTCGGTTCCGTTGCCCTACTCCAAATTTCCCTAACTTCAGCTCACCGTTTTCTCTTGTGCCTAGTTTTGCGTTGAAGTCTCCCATCAACACCGTGTAGTGGGTTTTGGAGGAATGCATGGCTTTGGAAATATCCTCATACATTTCCTCCACCTCCTCATCGGAATGTGCCGAGGTTGGTGCGTAAACCTGTATGACCTTCAGCGAATACCGTTTGGTGATTCTGAGTATCAGGTACGCGACCCTCGTCGACACACTCCCAATCTTTACAATGTTGTTGACGAGAGACTTGTGGACGATAAATCCGACACCTCCTTGGGACAGATGGTTGCCCTCCCGGTGATAGAACAAGTTGCCGGATTCGAGAATCACCGTGTCCTCCCCCTCTCTTCGGACCTCGGATAATCCTATAATACTCCAGCGCAACTTGTCTATCTCTTCTTCCAGCTCCAGGATCTTCTCGTCAGTCCTCAGTGTGCGTGCGTTAAATGTTGCCAGGTCGAGTCGTCGTAGGTGGCAACCGAACCTCCACCGGAGATTCTTAGCACCCCCTGCCCCGCCGTTACCATGGTCGCCACCGTAGCCAGGAATAGCGGGGCCGCCGGGGACTGGGGGCCGTCTATTTGTGTAATTGTTCATGGGGGGTATATTGCCATAGTTGCCACGCTTGGCGAGCGTGTTGGCAGCCGCAGTTTTTTTTGTCGTACCGTTGCTGTTATCAGGAAGATGCTGCAGCCCATCTCCTGCCTGTTTCCCTCTGTCGCCTCTTACGACACCCACGGGAATATATGGGGTAGTGGATATTCTTAACCGCCACTACAGGGCATTAGTTTTATAAAAAAAAAAACCAAGCCCAATAGTTAACAGTAATAAAAAAAAAACCGAATGTGTAAAAAATTTACTGAAAAAAGAATATTTCAAATATTATAGTCTATCACCTCATATGTTATAACAATAATAAGGACACGACTTAGAGACCTTCAACAAAAGAGCCTATCCCTTTATAAAGGGCCGGCAACGCATCTGCAAACAGGTGTTGCAGTTGTTGACGGGCGACTATAATCACTTACCGTCAGGTGAGCCGTATGCTCGTTTGCCCCCTCGACTATAAAAATAAAACTTAAGGTGCGTGTTTGAGCAAAATGCCGCGCTAGTCGTTATTTGTGAGGTTTTTAGGAGCTGTTTACTCGTTATTAAAAAGATATATCAACTAACAAAAAAATCTGATGATTTCTTAAATTTACACGAACACAACATTGAATAAAACTAAATTTACGGATTCTATCGCGTTTATTTAACTGATTTTACTTATTGTTAATTCCCGAAGTTTCGGGTGCTTTACAGCACCCATGGTCACGGGGGGGATTGAGATGTTTGACGTCCCAATGTCATTGTTAGCCCGGCTACCTTCAGTTTTTGAATATTAATTTTTGGTCCGATTTACGCAAAACTAACTTACAGTATCTTTAAGTCTTGCAGTGGTATGCTTGGGTTTGGGTTTAATTTTGTTAATTATAGGTGTATAGAAAAAAGACCCATACCAACCGATATTTAAATGGTGAATCTCAACATCATCTTTCACAGTTAGCTACCGTGGGTAAATCTTTGTTTCAGAGAGCACGAGGGATCTGTGACAGAAAACATCTGGCCGCCGAGCATCAGTATGTCAAGCAAGTATTGCAAGATAACAAGCTTCGGGTCCCGCGCCTACGTCACAGTGACCGAGTGAAGCCGGCCACAGTCGAGCGTGCGCCTGCTGTACTACCGTATGTTAGAGGTGTCACAGACAAGGTTGGCTACATCTTGAAGCGAGCTTCCATTAAAACATACTACAAGCCGCCGAAGAAGATTAGTCAATTTTTACCATCCGTCAAGTGTAATATCCCTCTACAAGATGCAGGAGTGTACAAGTTAGATTGTGAATGTGATCTCTCTTACATAGGTCAAACAAAAAGATCCATAAAAACCCGCGTGAAAGAACATATAGCTGACGTGAAGCACCGACGCTCCGGGAAGTCTGCACTCTGTGAACATGTTCAAGATCGTCCCCACCATTACATCAGATTTGATAAACCACAAATCCTCGTAAAAGAACACCGATTTCTACCAAGGATGATACGTGAGGCTATTGAAATTAAAAAACAACAATTTAATAATTTCAATAGAGAAGATGGTTGGGTGCTGCCATCTGCTTGGGATCCTATAATTAACAAAATTAAACCCAAACCCAAGCATACCACTGCAAGACTTCAAGATACTGTAAGTTCGTTTTGCGTAAATCGGACCAAAAATAATATTCAAAAACTGAAGGTAGCGGGCTAACAATGACATTGGGACGTCAAACATCTCAGCCCCCCCCCCCCCGTGACCATGGTTGCTGTAAAGCACCCGAAACGTCGGGAATTAAAAATAAGTAAAATCAGTTAAATAAACGCGATAGAATCCGTAAATTTAGTTTTATTTAATAAAAAATCTATTAAATTTCTACATAATCTTGATTCCATAATAGCCAGTTCCATTTTTTTAAAAGGAGTAAGTACTTGATGAATCTTCCTATAACTAAACCACAGAAATGCGAAATAATCGTTGATAACATGTATCTCATCATAAAGTAAGCATTATTTTATTTTGCGATTGACACTAATGGATAGGCAATTTGATCTATTTAATATTTTCAAAGGGCTAAAATTCGATTTAATAAAGAAAATGTTTTAAAATTTGGGCGTATTTCTTCGTGATATATTGTAGCGAGAGCGCGTGGTGTGAACCGAACGCTTAAGGTCGTTCACTAGGAGTAGCGCCTTAAATTAAAAACAAAATGAGCTGATAATCTACAAACGGCTAAAAAGATTTTCTCGAATCATGGCTAAGAACACTTTTGATCAAGTCACCTTCCAACCAAAAAAAAAACTAAATCAAAATTGATGAATTGAATTGAAATGGGCGCTGCAATGCCACACACAGATTAAACACACGTTAAACTTATATAGTCTGTGCCAAATCGATTGAGAAAAACGGACGATGACCTCAGATATGAGCCGAATGTCAAAAGGCGTAACTTACAAAATCTAAATTTAGATGTGATAGCAATATTTAAATATTGATATTATTCACACTTCTAGGTCAGCACATATGTTTTTTTTTGTTTCTTAAATAATATTGTCTGTGGTTCCTATAAATATCGTAAAATCTTACGGTACATCGCGAAAAATGTGTTATATTTTATATTTCAATTTATGGTAAGTGAATAAAGTACTTTATTATAATAATAGTTAATAAATATATTATATTATATCAATCATTAAAAAAACATTATGAATAAAGAAAGTACTACTTATAAAAAGTGCCTATATAATGAAGGTTTTTAGCCCCTGGTTAAACGACCGAAAGGTCATTGTCCGTTTTTCTCAATCGATTTGGCACGTACTATAACATCCATCTGTTTTCGTTGGGGGTTAAAAATACATAAAGCCGTTTAGGCTACAGAGTGTATTAAATAAATACACAGATATACATACATATATACAAACACACTGTCGAAAAATATTACCTTCCTGGGGTAGTCGTGTTAAAAATACAAGACTCAAAAATTTTAGAAACGAACAATGGTCATAGAAGACGAACGAGCAACCAAATAAATATAATTTTTGTACGTAAAAATATCAACGTACCCTAGCCTTAATGCTGAGGCCGCCTGTATCATAGACAATGCCTTTGCCGACCCAGGCGACCGATTGGGTGGCCCCAGGAGCTTTGTAGGACAAGGAAACTAAGGCTGGAGGTCTCGAGGCTGCCTTGCCAACGCCGTATATTCCTCCCATACCCCTTTCACGGAGCTCCTCCCCCTGGATTATGGTAGGTTCTGGGATATCTAGCTCCTTCGCTAGTTTACAGGCTTCCTGAAAAATAAAATTAATTATAGTCAACCAAATCTAAGAAATACGTTTTGACGTTTCACATTAATCATTCCGCAATAACTTTGCACAAGCGTACTCACACGATTTAAAATAACCTTTTACGTAAATCCGAAGAATTATAAAGTTATCTATATTTCATTACAACGTTTATAGTTTTTTATCATTAATTTAAATTGGAATTTTTCTACCAAAGCAGAATATTAAAAAATTACCAGTATTAATTTTTTTTACAATGACGTCGTTTCAATAATATGTCGCTATGTATATTACCGTAGTGTTTGGGTGATTAAAATTCATTGTTATGCGAATAATTGGCAAAATATTCAAATAATCGAATCATTAATTTTTTTAATGTATTATTTGTTTAATTTAATTTTTATTTTTTTACGTTGCAATGTAAATGTGTGTAGGCAAAAAAATAGGCAAGACCATGCTAAGATAACCACTACATAATTTCAATATCCCGCCATTTCGGTACCAGTTATTCGACTCCACAGAGTCAGTAATTCATTCTTGGAGCGATGTATACGCTTTTACAACAAAATCCCAGTAAATATACAAAATGTGACTTAAGTACACAAAGTTCAAAAAATTTATTTAAATTTTTTTGAACTTTGTGTACAGTTTGTATAAAAAGGGTTATTTTAATATTAAGGAATTTATGGATGATAATAACCCCTGGGAAAGGTGATCGCTACCAAGCTATTTCTAATTTGTTTTGTGTTATTGGTAATAAATTGTAACATGCATGATTGTAAGCTCTTTTTTTAAACTAGTCCCGTTGGGTTTCTTGCTAGTTCTTCCCAGGACAGAGGTTTTCTTTGCGAACCAGTAGTTAATGAAAAAACTGACTTTCAATAAGTATTATTCATAATTTATATTGAATAAAAAAGTTTCTGTTTCTGTTTCGAGAGCTTACTGTGTGTAATTTTGTGATTTTGTGTATGTGTTCTTATTTTGTGACTCGAATTTAACTTTTTGGACTGTTTCTTCTATATTCGTTGAAGAATGTGCCCACGTCACAAAAGATGATTGGGAAAAGTGGTAGAAAAACAAAACAAATTATTATGGATAGCTTTGAAAGAGACATTAATTTTGACTTCATTTTTGAAAATAAAATAATAATTAATATAAACAACGACATCTCTACTAGTTGTATTGAAACTAATTGAATAAATTTATTTTTAATCTAGTTTCAATCTCAAATTTTTATAACTGTGCCTCTTGAAATAAGCAGTAGCAACAAATACAAAGAAACTGATGAATCTTGTGTTTTAAATTATACATTTTTAATTTATTCTGGTATTATTCAAAGCAAACTGCAAGTGATTATCAAGTCCAAATAATCGATATCGATTTTTTCAAGAATCGAATATTGTACGTTACCATTTTTTTTGTTGGCATGCTTGGTACAAAATTTGACAGCTGTCAAAAGGTATTTCTTAGATTTGGTTGACTATAATACAAAACATTCTTGTAATCTACCATGAAAATTAGCGAGGACTACAGGGAAACGAAACAGAAGATGGGTATTAGCATCTCTCTGATAACAGCTCAAAATTTTAAAAAACTTCAGTTGCCAACCAAGCGTGGCAATTATGGCAAATATCCCCCCCCATAGGCATCTATGGTGGAGGCATATGTACAGCAGTGTGAACTATGATAGGATGTCATGATGACGATGAAACATTGTAATGAAAGCGTGAATAGAATCCACTATTCCATATCCTGTGGGATTAGTGAGAGGTGACAAATCACCCAGGTGATGGGCAGTAGCTTAGCTTAGTTTATTTTACGACGGGCTGTTTTCCACAACTCCACGTCCAAGCGCGTATTTTGCATGTGGGCAGGAATAATGTCATTATTCGAGCCATTAAATCTTCCCGAAGAAGTTCAACAGTCCTTCGGGGAAACGGGGGAACTTCGGGGAAAGATCCCGGCGTGCCGAGATGTTTAACCCTGTAAGCAGCGACCTCCGGACATGTCAGCGACACGTGAGCCGCCGTTTCTTCCTCCTGCATGCATGCCCTGCACAGGGGGCTATTTGTAACACCTATGGTAAATAAATGTTTGTTAAAAGAGCCATGTCCTGTGGTATCACTAGTTGCTATCCTGACCTGTGGCAGCTTTTTGGGCAGCAGCTTACTAACAACTCAAAGTATTAAACACCTGTGGTTCTCAACCCGCTTATTAAGCGTGGCAACTGTGGCAAATATCCCTCCTATGCCTAAGAGCCAATCTATGTTCAGTCAGTGTCAGTACACTACATTCATAAACACTCACGTCTGTCACCCAGAGGGGTAGGCAGAGACTACAGAATTTCATTTAGCATGATCCTGACAAACCTCTCTCGCCTCCTCCACATCCATATACCTACGCATACATGCTCGTCGTTTAATTTGGCCCATTTTCAATATATCGCCAATTAGGTCGATAAACTTTACTTAAGAAATTAATGCAGTGAGCTGAAAAATGTTTGCAGCATATGCTTCACTCCGGAGGCTTTATTACTTTTTTCCCATTTCCACCAAAATTACGCTTGCACAATCTTTACTACTCCCTATCCTCGACTATGCTGACATTTGTTACCTTGATATCACTGAGGAGCAACTTAACAAACTTGAGCGACTCCAAAATCTCTGTATACGGTTCATATTTGGGCTTCGTAAATCTGAACATGTCTCGGAATACCGCACTAAACTCAAGTGGCTCCCAATCCGTCTTCGTCGGAATACTCATATACTTTCTGCGCTCTACTGCGTCTTATTTAATGTATCAATGATAAGGAGGACCCTATCTAAAAGAACGTTTTAAATTTCTTAGCTCTTGTCACGACTTTTCCTTACGGTCCAAAGAAAATCTTTCGCTCCAATGTCCTGTACACTCCTCGACATTTTATGATAAATCTTTTGCTGTTCTTGGAGTAAGACTCTGGAACTCATTACTCCAGTCATTTAAAAGTGCTCAATCATTTAATGTGTTCAAGAATCAGATTAAGGAACACTATTTGTCTCTTTAACTCCTCTCTCTTCCTCCTCTTAGTTATGGTCACTAATCTACCTAAAGTATGTTGTCATTTTAGTATATAAGTTCGTATTTCTTTTTTCTAATTTAGTGCACCCTACCCGTTAATCTTATTTTTATTTTTATTAATTTCCTCTTCTGGGTTGTCTGGAAGAGATTGCTACGTAGCAATAAAACCGCCTTTTGTCGTTCCCTCATTGCTTGTTCATTATTTGTTGTATTTATGTTTCGTTGGTGTACAATAAAGAGTAATGTAAAAAAAAAGAGTATTGTATTGTAAACTTTCACTAGGACGTCCCTTTCCGACTCTGCCGTTCACTTCTGCAACATAAAGTTGCTTTGTCACTCTTTCCTCTTTCATTCTTTCTACATGTCCAAACCACCAAAGCATTCCTTTTTAAATCCTGGTCACAACATCATCTTGCAAACCACACTCTTCTCTTATCACACAATTTCTCACCCTGTCACTCAGATTCAGCCCTAACATACTCCTTAACGACCGCATTACTACTGCGTTTATTCTACTCTCGTGCTTCTTCTGCCACACCCAACTTTCACTACCATACGTAACCATACCAGTGTAACCATACGTAGGGACTAACACAGCATTCAGCAGTGTATTAGCAATAAAATATGTAACAACAATAGGGTATTTTACCCGTTTTGAAAAATTGTTTTAAATGAATCCTAGAGTGATAATGAACTACTATATTTTTTTTTAAACCGAATAGTGCCATAAAAATTACTTTTAATCTATCGTTTTAAATTTTCGCGTGTAAACACTGTTGCCATGTTGTTCAACTCGTGATGCCACAGTCGTGCCGATTTTGCAAAGAATAATATACTTTTTAATGTTTAATAATGAGTTATCATCTATATCATTATTGTGTTGTGCCTGAATGCAAAAATACGAGCATAAGAACGCCGGGAAAGTTATGGATTAAAGTGCCAACTGATTTAAATATGAGAAATACTTGGTTAAAACTGGCAAGAAGAGACCCGAAGGCATTGTCTACAAAATCTAAACTATACTTCTGTGAAGATAATTTTGATGTAAGTATGATTTATATTTAACTATCGTTTAATACAAGACAAAACATTATGAGGTGAAAGGAATCGCCAGTCAAATTTTGTAATAAATTCGGTTAATTTAGATATTATAACTAGTGATTGTCATTAAGGAGTATGTTAGAGCTGAATCTGAACGACAGGGTAAGAAATAATGTAATAAGAGAAGAGTGTGGTTTGCAAGATGATGTTGTGACCAGGATTAAGAAAGGAATGCTTCGGTGGTTTGGTCATGTGGAAAGAATGAATGAGGAAAGGGTGACAAAGAAAATTTATGTTGTAGAAGTGAATGACAGAGTCGGAAAGGGACGTTCTAGGCGAAAATTTATCGACCAAATTGGCGATTTATTAAAAACGGGCCAAATTAGGAGTACCCTTACATGTATGCGTAGGTGTATGGATGTGAAGGAGGCGAGAAAGGTGTGTCAGGATCGTGTCAAATGGAAGTCTGTAGTCTCTGCCTACCCCTCTGGGTGACAGGCGTGAGTGTTTATGTATGTATGTATGTATAACTAATAATTGTCATTATAGATAAACTAAACTATGATAGCTACTAAAATATGTTTTATCAAAATACACTCTGACCTGGTATTGTGTTTTTGTGTAAACAAAAGTTTGTAATAGGTACTACATTGATGTTATAACATTCCTCAACTCGACAGAACAAAAATTGGGATTGCATTCAAAAATTTTTGCCACCATCAATTTATAGATATATATGATAAGTGTAAGTTACAGAAAACACCAAAGAAAAAGAGAATTACGCAACCATGGGTTAATAAAGAACTATGTAAAATGATAGAACATAGGGATTTACTGTTCAGAGTTTGGAAATCATCCCCTAAGAATATGAATAAAAGACTAATGTATACGAGATTTAGAAATAAGGTTAATAAATTAATAGATAAAGCTAAGAATAAATACAGGCAGAATGAGATACAAAAATGTAACAATGATTTTAGAAAAATATGGTGTAACATAAATAAATGGATAGGCAAGCCAAAACCGGGTTTAGATGACGTTATATTAAAATATTTAGGCCAAACTAGCAGTGTGTATAATATTTGCAATAAGTTCTCTGAAACGTTCACAGGGGAAGTACAGAAAATAAAGCATAACTGTGATAAATTTTTTTTTGATAGAATTTCATATGTAAAACCAAGTGATAAGTCTTTTTTACTTTAAGAAGGTAGGAGCGTATACGATAGAAAAATATATAAATAATTTAGATTTTAATAAAGCACCGGGTGTAGACAAAATTAGAGCACAAGATATAAAGCAGGTAAAGAAAGAAATAAGCCCAGTATTAGCTAAATTGATAAATATGAGTGTGGGTGGGGGAGTTTACCCGGATATATTAAAAAAAGCAATAATACGACCAATATATAAACAGGGGGAGCCACACGGACTATAGTAACTATAGACCAATTGCTATATTATCCGTAATAAATAAAATAGTAGAAAAAGTAATAGTGAATCAGATAAGTTGTTACTTAGAGCAATATAACATTATATCAGATGCGCAGCACGGGTTCCGTCGCGGACGCAGCACGGACACTGCGCTTGCGCAATTCACCGACTATATCAACAACAATCTCAATGAGGGTAAGTTTGTCGCTGCTCTTTTTATTGATTATAAAAAAGGCATTCGACACCCTGGAACACGAGGTACTACTGCGTGCGATGGATGAATGTGGTATCAGAGGTCCCATCAACCAATGGTTTAAATGCTATTTGCAAAATAGATCCTTATGTACATTGATAGACGGAGTAACAGGGGACGATATAAGCGTGAGTCTTGGAGTACCAACCGGATCGGTTTTCGGTCCAGTTGGGTACATTATGCATGTTAATAGTGTCATTAATGTAATAAAGCATTGTAAAACGGTTATGTATGCAGACGACATGTGCCTAATGTACTCAACCAATAACATGAGTGATGCACAAAAATACATACAGGAGGACTTCGAAAACATTATTAAATGGGCACATGATAACGGTATAATTATAAATTTATCCAAAACAAAGGCTATGTATATAAGTTCACCCCACAGTAACGTATTTAAGCAAGGTAAATTAAACATAAATATAATTGGTCATACATACGAGTGTCTACACCTCAATAAAGCTGGCTGCCAGTGCACAAACATAGATGTAGTAGATAAATACCGATACTTAGGCCTAACAGTAGATAGTAATATGAACTGGAAACTGCACGTCAATGGTGTGTGTAATAAATTGCAATCAATACTGGGTAGATTCTTTCACTTAAGCAATTTCATGAATCGAAAAGTCTTGTACGTACTGTATTATGCACTGGCCGACTCGGTAATCAATTATGGATTGAGCAGTTATGGGCTAACATTCAAAACACAGTTAGATCGTATAAAACATTTAAAGATTAGACTACTTAAGTATTTAGTAAGTAAAAAAATAAAATTACAGTGTAAAAAAAATTATGACAAATTATTTAATATATGTAAAATACTTCCAGTGCATCAAAAGGTAGATTACCTAATTGCTTTAGAACAATATAAAATAAATTTAAACAACCTATAACGCATAAATATCGTACCAGGCAAGTTGAGAAGGGTAAATATGTGATACCACATATAAGAAACTATTATGGTAAGAGAACTAGGCAATATTTAACTCCGCTAATATATAATAGAATAGATTTTATAAGAGATACGTCCAAAGACATAAGCACAGTAACATTAAAGAAAAGACTGAAAAATACATTCCTATGAAAAGTATAATGTACTACCTATAATAAGTATTAATTAAAGATAGAGATATTTATTGTAATAAATATACCTAGGATAAGTATGTATGTAACAAAAAATACATATTAATATATAACAAAAGAGCGCCATTATCGCCAACAAACTGTTGCACAGTTTGGCGATGTTTATAATTATTTTAAATCTGTGTATTTTATATGAATAAAGATTAAAAAAAAAATTATCCTTAGTAGATTAGCACTTTCTGTTTTTACGAATTCGTCTTCCATGATGCCTTTTCAATAAAATTCGGAATAAAACTCAATAATCGTAATTATAACTAAACTAAAAAAATTGGAAATAACACAGCACGTTAGCTAGTTCTCTTAATCAGTGACACAGAACACTAATATCCTTAGGTTGGAAAAGTGACGTCACGACATGTGCTAATATGGCCGACAGCGTTTTGCAGATTTGAGGAACAGATGAAAAAAATATTCTTAATATGGAAATTTTAAATTTATAATGCAATTTTATAAACAGAAATCAATGGGTGCGTTTGGCAGAAAAAAGCGCTAGCAAGCGCTTGTAAGCAAAATGGCGAAACTAAACAGTTTTCGGCCAGGACACATTTGCTAACTTTAGTAGGGCTGACACAATCCGCCATTTTGCTTATTTAATTTGTTTGTTTTGAAGTAGAGCTTTCGTTACTGTTACTGTTGTTTATTTATATGTATAGAAGATGCTATGTAGAACCACAATTACTATCCCGTTAAACATATTCACTCACCTCGATGAAGGCCTGTACGTGCATGATATTAGCGGGCGTGTCAGTTATTCGTGCGGCCAGCCGAGTCATGTCGGCTATCCGCTGTACGGTACCCAACTCCTCGTCCGTCAAAGTCTGCTCCATAAGAACGGGCTCCAAGGGACCTACACCTTCGTCGTCTGAGTCACCTTCTGAAAAAATTACAGCACATTCTTCTTTTTAACTTATTTTTATGTGTATGTCACATGATATGTGACATTAGGTGAATTAAAATATAAATAATAGCTTGTAAATTAACTAATAAGAAATAAAAAAATTAACCAATAATAATTAAACAACTAAAAATAATAACTGGGGTTGCCAAGCCGCGTGTCAAGCGCAGGAAATATGGCATATATCCCCTTATGAGACGATCTATGGGGGAGGCTTTTGTTCAGCAGTGGACTTTTCATAGGTTGTAGCAGTTATGTCACATGCTGCGGGTTAACCATTGATAACCTCTCTAAAATCTAATTTTAATATACAAGTTGTTCTAAAGGTGAGACTTTGGCACTCAAACAGTGATGGAATTAGGGTTACCACCAGTTCTATAATATATAGTATCGTACCATATTTCAGTCAATTGATTCACATTATTCCACCTAATTGTAAGTAGATGCTGTGGCACATAGACATCAAAATTTATCCTCTAATAAGAATTAAAATGCAGATACGTTGTTACCCCTTGAGGACTAAGATGTAATGCCTCGTATTCAGTAAGAGGGTTTTCAGGTTCTCTTCTCTTCTTCTGTAAGTGCGGGATCCTTCCTCTGTCGAGCCGACCCATTTATACTACAACTATAGTATAGTAGTAAAATTGAATATATTGTTTTAAAAGTATAAGCGCATTGAAAGTTATTTAATTACGTCTACCAAATGTAAGTTGCATTAAATCATACCTTACTCCAACTTATTAGTAGTACATGATTAGAACTCAATAATATATAACCAAAAAATATTTTTTGTGCAATCTCAATTAAATCTTTGGGTTGTAAAAATAATCTAGGAAACTGACTCAATGATCTTCTAGTTCACAATCATACTAATTAAGGCAATAAGGTGGTGTAATTAGGACTATAGTGCACAAGCAAAGACTTATTTAATATTCTCTATGTGCATAAGTCGTAAAATTACAATTTCATTGACAAAGAAAATTGTAGAGCATATGATTGTGAACTAAGATATCGACTTATAGAAGTCAATAGGGGCGGCAAAATTTGAATAGCCAACTGACGGCAAATGTGCTAATCCGCCACTGGTACCGTACTATATTTCGGTCAATTGTTCTAAATCAAAAATCAAAAAATAATATATATTATAGAAAAATAATATAGTTTGAAAAATACTATATTTTTATCCCTAATTCAATTGCCGCGCTTTTTATATCAACGGTGATTGGAAGTCTGGATCAAGAAAATTTATGTAAATAATTTTTTCCATCATGATTCTAAAATTTAAAAAAAAAGAGCAAGCAAAATTAATTGTTAATTTATTTAAATATGAATCTAAACAGACTTCTATAATTGTTTTAAAGGTAAGGTAGAAGGTAAGGCAGTTAGATCCACTATATTTTTATCCCTAATTCAATTGCCGCGCTTTTTATATTAACGGTGATTGGAAGTCTGGATCAAGAAAATTTATGTAAGTAATTTTTTTTCCATCATGATTCTAAAATTTAAAAAAAGAGCAAGCAAAATTAATTTGTTAATTTATTTTAATATGAATCTAAACAGACTTCTATAATTGTTTTAAAGGTAAGGTAGAAGGTAAGGCAGTTAGATCCACTATATTTTCCATTTTGAGGGTGGAGAAGTGATTCTAAAATTTAAAAAAAGAGCAAGCAAAATTAATTGTTAATTTATTTTAATATGAATCTAAACAGACTTCTATAATTGCTTTAAAGGTAAGGTAGAAGGTAAGGCAGTTAGATCCACCAAAGTAAAGTGCAATAAGAAATATATATGGAAAAATACATAAAGATTAAAAACAAAAATTTTTTTCTCCTTAATTTCTGAACAGTACTATACTTTTGCATCTTTTTTGGGAAAAATACTATATTTGTTCAAAGAAAGGTAGCCCTAGATGGAATTTCCATTGAAAAATGCCACACTCAAATTGCACAGAGTGGTAATTGTGAGCATTGTTATGAATGTTGCCGACTATGGCTATTTATTATGGACAGTAACACTGCCTTCAACACTGCCGCAGAAGTATTTCGAAAGGTTTAATTATTGTTATAAAATAAGGACACACAGTTTACCTGATGATAAGTGTGATATACCTCTACACCTATATTCTAAATACAATTAAGAATCAAAATGCAAATACATTGCCATCTCTGAGGACTAAGATAGAATGCCTCATTTTCAGTAAAAAGGGTTTACATTTCTCTTTACTCACCATATGAAATAGAGCATTATAGCTGATTCACGTTGGTATCTTGTGAGAGCGGGGTCCTATGTTATAACATAGCTGCAGCGTAGCTAACGTGAGAAATGAATACGAGGTACTACAAGTAACGTACCGCGCTTCTCATCGGCGACGAGTAGGATCTCGACGTTGAGATCCCGGTGTGGTGGCGGCTGAGGCGAGGGCGGAGTCCCGAGCGGCGCGCAGGCCGAGCGCGCGCTGTACTGCGGCACCGCGCGCGCTATGCCCACGGCGCTTGCTAGCACGTCGCGCTTGCGGCACACCAGCTGACAATAATACATAAACTTTACACGGTAATAACGCTGGGACATGCTGACTGTATAAGGATCTTCAACCTGCAGACTCACCTTTCAGGTACGTGGTAGAGCCATGCTGCAGTTATATTAGTAGTATAGTTGTAGCCCGAATGGGTCGGCTCGACCGGGGAGGGACCACGCTCTCACAGAATACCAGCGTTAAATAGTAGCTTAATGCTGCTGTGTTTCATATGGTGAGTGTAGAGAACTGGAGACACCTTTTTACTGTAAACGAGGTATTCCACCTAATTCCTCACGGGTGACTACACATCTGCATTTTGATTCGTAATCGAGGATAGATGTAGATGTCTATGGGCCACAGCAACCACTTACCATCAGGTGGACTGTGTGCTTGCTTGTCACCCTATCTTATAAAATATAATCTTTCTACACCCTTGTCTGTTTACAATAATGTTGGGCGCCTCGCAGTCAGTTAAGGTTGCAGTGTGAAGTGCTCATTTATTTAGTAAGCAGCGAGTCACCATCTTCCACCTTATATCCATTGAACATAACTGCAGGTGTCCCGAGACTCTCCTCAATAGCCCTGCATCCCAATCCATGGAGCATCCCAAGCTAATAACACAATATTGTTAAATTTTTCCTTTTGTTTTTGCCAATTGTTTATGTATGTTCTGAAGCTCTTCTTCGGATACATTTTTGTAATGTATGTGAAGAGAGGCCCACAACATACACCACATTATAAAGTATAGCAAAATCCTCCAAAAGGTCTCTGAGAGTTGGACTCACGTATTAAATGACCGCGCCCCAGTGGACGCGAGATCAAAAGGAGGAGTGGAGATACGCACTACCGACACAGCCTATTAAAGTCCACTTCTAAACATAGGCCTCCCTCATAGTCCGATGGGACGGTTATCCAACACGACCCTGGAGAGACATTAGGAGCTGAACCAACAGATTTACGTGCTTTTCTAGGCACGGGGATGAAACACCACCAAAATAATCTGTCAAAAATGATATTGCTTACCACAATGTACTCTTCAGCGGCAGAAGTTCGTTGGGCGGCGCGTACAATCTTGGAGAGGGCGTGCGCCCTAGAAGGCGCTGCATGACGCGATCGGCGAGCTGGCAACGCCGCTAGAGAAGCACCACGAGGCCATAATTCGCACGCTTCCGCTGCTGTCACTACGCTGAGACCGCGCTTCCAAACCTGTAGGCAAACGAACATTTTTGTGAATGGACGAAGGAAATATGTTTCTTTTTTTATAGAATAACAACAAACGAGCACATAGTCACACCTGAGATGGTAAGTGAATGCCTATTAGACATCTTCTACATCTATGTTTTTTTTTATAATTCACTTACATGAGAAATGTTTATAATGTTAGCCTAATTCAAAAACATCACACAAAGTAGTAACAAAATAAAAAAGACACTATTTTCTTTTTAGCCTAAGCAAAGTATATATAGGCAGTTATGAGTATACTTAGGAGTTATGAGAGGAATAAATCAGTTGTTGTCTCGCTAACGAACGTGTATTATTTCAAACACAACATGGTGTCAGAAGTGGGATCATAAGCATAGTAAACGCTTAAAATCGAGGACTTCAATAGAATAATTGCAACATATATACATAGCATAATATTTATGAATAGTAGTAAACTGTGAAATAATTCTATAACGTGTGGCTTGCAGTTAACAATGGAGCACGCGCGTCCACCTAGCGAATTACAGTTAGAAGGCGGACCCGTCAGCAGTGCTGATGCTTGGAAAAAGTGGAGACAATTAATATTATTTGTGAAAGCTTCGGGTGTGCACTAACGGGTAAAAGCAAGTTTACTTCTCAATTTAATTGGTTCAGAAGTATTCGAAATTTATCAAACTTTTACGTTCACTAAAGAAGAGGATTGTGATGATGTGCAAATAATATTGAGAAAATTTGATGAATATTTTGGAACTAAAATTAATATTACATTGCTTAGATACAAATTTTTTACTCGCAATCAAGAGGAACGTGAAAACATACAGCATTATGTTACGTCATTGCGGTTATTGAGTAAAAATTGTAAATTTGCAACTTTAGAAGAAGAGCTGATAAAGGATCGAATTGTGTGTGGTGTAAATAGCACAATAATCCGGGACCGTTTGCTCAAATGTGAGGACCCAGACCTGGAAAAAGCTGTGAAGTTGTGCCAGGCCGAAGAAATTTCGCAAGAGAGTAGCCGTCAGCTAAGCACTAGTGGCATGTGTGCTAGTGTAGTGCAGGTAGACAGTGTCAAACAAAGGAGAGTACAACGCGACGCGCGGTCGCGTCTCACGGGGCTCCGCGCTGTGCTGCCCGCGCTGTGGACTCGAGCGCTGTGCAAGGCCTCGATGTCTGGCCGATCACGCCACATGTTTCATTTGTAGTTAACAAGGTCATTTCGCTCGGCTATGTAAGCAGAAGTTAAATAGTAATAAGGCCGGTGTAAACCGTGCATATGACGATATTGAGCAAAATAAAGATGTTACGCGTTCTATTGATTGTGAATCGTTTTTTATATCAACCATAAATGGTCAAGAAGGTTGTTCTATGGCTGGTTCGAAACATTATATTTTGAGAAGGGTATCGAAAACTTTAAATTGGACACGGGGGCGGATATACTTAAATGTTTTATCTTTTGAAAGATATTTGCAACCGGGTTTTGATTCCAATATAATAAAAAAATGATTGTATTAAATTAGAATCGTATAGTGGTAATATAATACCAGTAAGAGGCGTTTGCTCTTTACAATGTTTTTATAAAAATGTTTGTTATAATTTAAAGTTTGCGATTGCCGATTTACATTGTCAAAGCGTCAAAGCTGGGACGACAGCACGCTTCTTTTCCGTCTTGGATGCCAACTCGGGTTTTTGGGCTATACAACTGGAACTTCTCAATAATTGTATTCGCTTTATCTTTGGCTTACGTAAATTCGATCACGTTTCTTCATTCCGTTCTCAGCTCAAATGGCTGCCTCTTCCACTTCGTAGATCTTTTAGAATCCTTTCTATGCTATTCTCTATTTTACACGATCCGTTTGTCCCTGCATATCTGAAATGCAAATTTCAGTATCAGGGCGATTCTCACAACCGATGTCTGCGGAACGGAGAAAATCTAACTCTTCATGTTCCTCTCTGTCGCACGGGCTTCTCTTACAATTCTTTCACTTCAAATGCAGTAAGACTCTGGAACATGTTACCCAGAAATATAAAAGAAGCAAAAACTAAACCTATCTTTAAACGTTTACTCTGGGATTATTACTTAAGGCGCTACCTCCAGCGAACGACCTTGAGCGTTTGGTCTGTCGACGCTCGCTACAATATATCGCGTAAGAAATCGCCAAAAGACGTCACCTACTGCTACGAACGTAGTATTATTTTTTCAATGTCAATGAACTATTCTATGGAAATAGACACGGCGTACAATGATAAATGTATTTTAATTTTCTTTATTCGGTATATTAGTTGCATTATATTAGAATTATGTATTCTAATATATTATCTAATTAATAAAAATGACTATTTTGATTATTTTTAACTATATACTATACTGCTAATATTGAATTAGCTTTTTATAGTGTAAATTATAATATTTGTCGAAATATTAATTATGGATTCGAACTTTACATGCTAATGGTGCTTCATTTTTGTTATTTTGTTATTTTTGAAAATTTATATTTATAAAAATTTATATTTTTATAAATATAAATTTTTATAATAATTTATATTTATAAAAACCAACCAGATGAGAAAACTATACAGATACCCCAACAATAATAATATAATAATAATAATATTCCACAACTATCACACAACGCCATCTAGTCCCAAGCTAAGCAGAGCTTGTGTTATGGGTACTAGACAACTGATAAACATACTTATATATTTCTAAATACATAAATATTATAGATAAATTACACCCAGACACAGAACAAATGATCGTGCTCATCGCACAAACATTTGTCCTGGGTGGGAATCGAACTCACGACCTGCGGCATAGCAGTCAGGGTCACTAACCACTAGACCAACAGGCCTGACGATAAATAAAATAAAGTCTCTAGCTCGAGAGGAGAGGAGCCGTGGTAGCTCAGATGGTTAGCGCTTGCTAAAATTTTCACAGTGTGCGAGCAAACCGGGTTCGATCCCCGCCGGCACCAATAATATTGTAATTGCAATTTTAAGTGTTGATTTACCACGTGCTCAGTGGTGAAGGAAAACATTGTGAGGAAACCTGCATGTCTGATAAATAAGAAAAAAAATATTTCGAAGACATGCAAAGTTCGCCAACACGCAGTGATAATTCCTTTCCTAGGACCCTTTCAGAAAATAGAATAGAAATAAAAAAATAATAAATCCAAACTTCATTTAAAACCAAACATATAAATTGTAAAGTAGCTGCAGGTATCTATAACCAAGTAAAAGATATTCCTTTACTCCAACTTGTCCATGTTTCCCAAAACAATTTTTAATTAAGCTTTATATTATAATGCGGATTTTTTTATATTTAAAATTTTAATAATAAAGCATTTCGTACGTCTCAGCCGAGGCGCAAATATTTTTCGGCCGCAAATTTATAAGACCGATTTGTTATTCAAACATTTTTAATTAAATCTACCAATCATAAAACGACACGCATTTTTATTGAACACTTCCTATTCAATTCACAAAGTACCTATTATATACGAGGGTGGATTGAAAAGTACTCGGCCTAACACAGATCCATTCAATTCTAAAAATCAAATCTACTCACATTATTTAGTTCAGTTCAGACTAGTTCATTGTGTGAAGTTCGAAACGTGTGCGATAATTAGTTGTGATTTTATAAATTTATTAACAAAGTAATCGGACATAATTTCCGCGAATGGAGCAAATCGAGCAGCGTGCCGTCATTAAGTACCTCCATAAGAAGGGGCTATCATCAAAAGCCATCCATGATGACATGGTCAGTACATTAGGCGCTTGTGCTCTGTCATATTCATCCCTCAAAAAATGGATAGCAGAATTTAAGCGTGGTAGAGAGAGTGTGAAAGATGAACCCCGCTCTGGAAGGCCTTCGACGTCAACTACTGACGAAAATTTAAAAAAAGTACTTTATTTAATAATGGGAGACCGCAGATTAAAAATGAGAGAGATAGCCGAGATTATAGGCATCTCTTATGAACGAACTCAAAACATCATTGTCAACGAGTTGGGTTTCCACAAGGTGTCTGCGAGGTGGGTTCCGCGACTGCTTTCAGTTGAACAAAAAAGGAGGCGATTGACTATTTCACGCGACTGTTTGGAGTTATTTGAAGCCGATGCAGATGATTTTTTGAATCGTTTTGTTACTATGGGCGAAACATGGGTTCATTACTGTACACCGGAAACAAAACAACAATCAAAACAGTGGAGATGACCTGGTTCACCACCCCCTAAAAAGGCTAAGTCGATTTTGTCGGCAAATAAGGTGATGGCTTCAGTATTCTGGGACTCGAAAGGTGTGATTATGATTATCTTGAAAGGGGTCAGACTATAAACTCTGATTACTACTGCACCTTACTACGTCGTTTACGAGAGGAAATAAAAGAAAAACATCGAGGAATGCTCAGAAGAAAAGTCCTGTTTCATCAAGATAACTCCCGTGTTCACACGTCAGTACAGTCAATGGCTGAAATTCACAACTGTGGCTTTGAACTGTTACCGCATCCGCCGTATTCACCTGATCTGGCACCATCAGACTTCTTTCTGTTCCCTAACCTAAAAAAGCACTTGGGAGGTCAAAGATTTTCGACAAACGACGAGGTCAAAGCAGCTGTAGACGCATATTTTGACTCTAAGGAAGAATCATTTTTTTTTCAACGGTCTAAATGCTTGGAATGCAGGGGAGGTGGCAAAAGTGTATTGAACTTGATGGTGATTATGTAGAAAAATAAAAATATAACTGATTTAGTATGTGTTTATTTTCTTGGTTAGGCCGAGTACTTTTCAATCCACCCTCGTATTTGTTTATATAAAAAAGTATATATATTTAAGTACAATCATAAAACTAAATGGAAACACAAAGTAGGAAAATGCATTGAGTTATAAAACACATAAATCAATGCCAAATGTAAAAATGCCGGCTGTAAGATTTATTTCTAAGATACGGCCGAGTTACAATATACAGTGACGTAAGCGCATCGGTTCGTAGGTATTCAAATAATATTATG